TTATGACTGAGGCAACGTGCAAGTTTATATTCTCTTCTTAGGTTGTTTATATCGACTATAAACTACAAACAAAAAAAAAGAATACAGGAGTGAGGCAAATGCATCGGTTTCCCTGTTACTCACTACAGCCTTAAACTAAACTAAAAGCTACGCTAAGGTAATGCAATCGAGTGAAACGCAAAACAAACTTATTTAATTCAAACATCGATATCGACATCGAACATTGTTTTAATTAAAACAATGAAGGAACATTTCAAAAACACGATAAATACGGTAGATGGTACGAAAGGCAAACAGTTTGAAGAAGACTAGTATAACGGATTCCGTAATAGATTTTTGAAAAACTGTCGGGATAAACAGTTTTCATGAAGCGCCGGCCAAACGATCGCAACATATCATCACAACATAGCGGAACATCGTTATCGCAGCATTTCAGCGCAACATATCACAACATTGTTGGGCGCAACATGTTGCGCGCGTTTGGCTACCCTGTTACGAAGTGTTGCGACATGTTTAGTATAGAAAATCGAACTAGTGCGCATGCCCGGGTGCAACATTGTTGCACGAGACTGGTCAAACGACTACAACATCATGCAACATCCACAGACGTTGCATGAAAATTTNTTATGACTGAGGCAACGTGCAAGTTTATATTCTCTTCTTAGGTTGTTTATATCGACTATAAACTACAAACGTAAAAAAAATACAGGAGTGAGGCAAATGCATCGGTTTCCCTGTTACTCACTACGGCTTTAAACTACACTAAAAGCTACGCTAAGGTAATGCAATCGAGTGAAATGCAAAACAAACTTATTTAATTAAAACATCGATATCGATATCGACATCGAACATTGTTTTAATTAAAACAATGAAGGAACATTTCAAAAACACGATAAATACGGTAGAAGGTACGAAAGGCAAACAGTTTGAAGAAGACTAGTATAACGGATTGCGTAATAGATTTTTGAAAAACTGTCGGGATAAACAGTTTTCATGAAGCGCCTGCCAAACGATCGCAACATATCATCACAACATAGCGGAACATCGTTATCGCGCATTTCAGCACAACACATCACAACATTGTTGGGCGCAACATGTTGCGCGCGTTTGGCCACCCTGTTACGACGTGTTGCGACATGTTTAGCATAGAAAATCGAACTAGTGCGCATGCCCGGGTGCAACATTGTTGCACGAGACTGGCCAAACGACTACAACATCATGCAACATCCACAAACGTTGCATGAAAATTTGACCAATTTCAAATTTGAGCCAACAACACCTAACATGTCGCAACACTTCGCAA